TAGTTTATTATCCTTATATTAACTTGCAAAAAGATTTTGTGTTTTAAAATGGCTAATTTATTATTAATTAATAAGATATTAAATTGAAAACATTTTTAGTAGTTTGGTCTATACATAAATTTAAAAAAATAATAAAAGTACAGAAATTTTCCTTAAGTCATGATGTTTAATTATATGCTCATATTTATTAAAATAATTGATATTAGATACATATTTAGGTTATTTGATAACATTCATTTTTATTTTTAGGTATACTAACATTTAAAAGATCACACTAAAAATAATATTTGTTTTAGTGTAAGTTAATTGTTCCAATTTAAGTCATAAATATAAACATGGTTTTAGGTTTATTTGCCTATCAAATATGTTAATGTGGAGTTAATCTAAAATTTAGTTGCAATATTTGCTTTGAAAAATTTATTCACAGACAAAATATAAATTCATTTGATTATGATCAATACAACATTACTAGAATAAAAATTATAATCCCATATCTTTGCATCTTTAAATTGTATAACTGAATATATTATATTTAACACATACCCTCTAATCCAGTAGTTCTCAACCGGGGTGACATGTCACCTTAGGGTGACGCAAAATTTTAACAAGAAAAAAAATAAAAATTAATTTTTTCGAAAACAATCATATTACCTATTTCTTATAATAAATATATTATACACCTATACCACCACTGTCATGTACATAATATACCTCAAAGTTCGTATCTTTATAATAGTTTGTATTATTTATATTTAATCTTTTGGTCCGATAAACGCGTGTACCTAGTAATTTGTCGTGCAATACACAGCTAAGATTGTTTATTATTTTGATGTTTGGGTGACGCAGTATTTGATTCTAGTGACTGAAGGTGACATGAATCAAAAAAGGTTGAGAACTACTGCTCTAATCTATTATGCAACTATAAGCATTTTAAAGTATATATTTTATGCTACCATAAATTATGTCTGAAAAATGTATTTATTCGTAAACTATCCTAAAAATACAGCTATTACAAATTATTAATTATATATTAGAATAATTTTTTATAAATCAAAATTTAACTTGTAATTTTTGTTTAAAACAATTTCTACAAAAAAAAAAAAAAAATTGTGAAAACATTTAGTTATGGTTCATAAAATAGTAGAATATAAGAATTAAAATACTGTGTTTTTGAACTCCTTTACCAAATTAATCTTAAACTGTCTATGTTTTATGTAACTATAATGCACTTTGAAGCATATGTTTTTGCTACTATTATGGCTGAAATGTTTTTAATTATCTTATAAATACAAAATCTTCATAGTATTGATTCTTAACTTTTATTACTGATTTATGTACATTAAACATGATATATATATATATGTTTAATGCCTCTATAAATGTACCTAATTTAAAATTTAAATATTTAAAAAAATGAATAACAGAAAATTGAGGTGATATTTTTACTTTTAAATCTGATAAAATGTCAATTTACTGTAATATTAAATATAGTTACACAAAATGGATTCTTCTGAACTTAAATTTGATAACTTTGATATGATGTATGTTTGTGTGAAAAAATAACACAGCTTGTAGAAATCATATTTTTTATAACTGGACATTTAGCAATGATTTCTTTTATCAATGAATATTCAAACAGAGTATTTTATTTTTGTTTAAAAAATTCATTATTATATCACAAACTATTAATATATTTATTATTGTTTTTTAGTTAAAAATATACTTGTATTAAGTTTCATTTATATTAGTAGGTGACAAATTTTGTTTCTTTATACTATTAAAACTTGTATTAATATGTCCATCTTAAAATTGAAATAGTTAACTAAATATTACAAATCAAGTTTTTTATGATTATTTTAAATTTTTAAATTTTTTTTAGTTTGTTAAATTTATTATTCAATCAAATGTAGTATTGTTTATTTTGTTAGTTGTATATTATTAGAATATTTGAGTTGATAAAAATTATCACAAATTTTCATATTTGATCAATGAAATATTATTGAAAAATGAAACATTTTCCTTACTTCTTATGCTTTATTATACACATATTTAATATTATAATTTATAATAAATTAATGCTTGATTTTTTTTATTATTTTTTTCTGATTTGAGATACATTTCTATTTAGAAGGATTACATACAAAATTGTTATTTGTTTTAGTGCCTGTGAACTGTTTTATTTGCAACAATTGCCGTCGAAGTTATAAATATAAGCGTAGTTTATATAATCACCAGAAGTTTGAATGTGGAGTTCCTCCAAAGTTTAATTGTTATCTTTGTTTTAAAAAATTTGCCCAAAGGGGAAGTTTACGAAAACATATGATGTTGATTCATAAAATATTAGAAGGCTGAAATAGTATAAAAAATAAAAGACTATACCAAACCTAAACCTTTTATGTAACTAAAATGGATGTGAAACATTTATTTTCTTATTAATCTAATGCCTGTAAAGTATAATTATTTTGCAATTAAAGCTATTACAATATTTTATCTTACTTACATGCATTAAATAACATAGTATTATTGTTTAATAACTCTGAAGACATATACATTTTTAAATTAATAAAAAAAATTAACAAAAAACACAAATAGTTAAATATTCTTACTTTTGAATTTCATAACAGATCAGTTTGTTGTAATATTAAAACTAAAAACATAAAATAGATTATATTAAACAAAAATTACGCATGAGTATGTTAATTAAATAGATATTTCACATTCTGAAAATTTTTGAATGATTTAACTGATTTAAGTACTATAATGGATTTTAAAATTGTATTCTAATTTTATTTAACAAATTAATTATTATCATGAATTATTTAAATATTGTTGTTTTCTATTTGCAACTTTAATTATATATATTAGATAATATACTTCTTAGGTAATAAAGAAATATAAATATTATTAAAATTTGTATTAATATGTTTCTTGTACTAAAAAATTTACATGGTTAATCATTTAAATAAAAAATACATTTTTATTATGATTATAATTTATTTTCTATAGTATACATTTTATCTTAATTTTCTACATTATTAGGAAGTTAAGTGATATTTTTTTCTTAAATATTTAATGTGTCTTTTAATTTATTTGTTAAATTAACTTAATTAGTCAAAGGTATTATTATTTTTATATTTTATTAGCTTTATATTATAAAAGTATGAAAAAATTATCGCTTGAATTTCTGTATTTGAGGGATGGAACACAGTAAAAATTTTGCATAAAATGTTGTTAACTCTTAACTATGCTTTATTATGTGCATATTAAATAATATATGATTTATATTAAACAAATGCTTGAATTATTTTATAATTATTATTCTCCAATTTTGAATATGCTTACTCTAAAAAGATTACTTAAAAAATAATATTATTTGTTTTAGTGCCTGTGAACTATTTTATTTGTAACAATTGCGGTCGAAGCTATAAATATAAGCGTAATTTATCTAATCACAAGAAATTTGAATGTGGAGTACAACCAAAATTTAGCTGTAATCTTTGTTTAAAACGATTTGCCTATAGAGGAACTTTACGTAAACATACATTCTCGGTTCATAAAATATTAATATTATAATTATTACAACAATTAAAATATTGTATACATGAAAAATAAACTATACCTTTACCTTTTTATCTTTTATACAACTATAATGAATTTTTGAAAATACAATGTGTGCTACCAACATAAAAAGAGTTAATTATTTTGTAAACTGTTTTTCAAATAAAAATATAATTATTACAATATTCAAAAATTTCATCTTTTTCACCTATTTAAAAAAAAAATGTTATCTCTGCTAAATATTACTTAAATAATCAATTATTAACACTTGAGTCTTTTTATTTGAAACTCAAATGGTATTTAGCACAATATTTTCTTATCATTTTATTATTTATCGTATACATATTTAGTATTATGTATTATAATTTTTATTTAACAAATTCTTGAATTTTTTTACTTCTATTATTTTCAGATTTGGTATATGTTTATATATAAAAAGAATTACATAACAAATGACATTATTTGTTTTAGTGGCTGTTAAACTGTTTTTTTTTTTTATTACAATATGTATGGTTGAAGTTATAAATTTAAGCATGGCTTATAATATAATCACCAGAGAAAGAATAGAAGTTTAATGCTTAGTAAAAATGAAGTTGTTATCTTTGTTTTTAACTAATTGCTCACAGATCACATCTACAGAATTACTTGGTTAGAATTTGTAACATTTTATTTCAACAAAAAATAATATACATATATAAAATTTATCTATCTTTAATGTGATTATACATTTATAATGCATTTCAAAACATATACTCGTATTATTATACCCATATAATATAATGAAATAATAACTAAATTATTTGTCAGCTATTTTGATGCTAAAATTGATAATTAATATTATTTTTATTTATTTATTTACAGATGTATGTTTGTTGAGTACATCATTGATTAATAACTCTGAAGTACACACATGCATTCAAAATTATGGCAAAAGCTATAAACATTTTATTAACTTTCAAAGACATTTAAGATATTAATGTAATGAGAGGCTACACAGTTTAATTGTTGATTCTTTGATAAAATGTACAAGCAGCCCTATAATTTGAAATTCTATATAACATTAACACACCAATATATTTAAAGGAGTAAAAACAATATTTCATATTCTCTTATGTACCTTTTGGTTAGTTTTTATCGATTATTTTGTCATTTTAACTTGTTAATTGATTAATACTAAGAATTTGAGCTCAGTATAACTATCCTAAAAAATATTTGAAATGTATATTTTGATTTTATTAAAACAATTATTATATTATAAACTATTGTTATATTATTTTTTGTTCACTGTATTTAATTTTAATTCTATTACTATATAAATAGGTAACAGAAATTATTATGAAACACTTTATTTATATATTATTTTAAAAATAAAATAATTGTTTAAAATAAATCAATTTTTTTTTTAAATGTGTATTATATTTTAATTAAGTTGTTAAGGAAACATGTTAATTTTTAATAAGTATTTTATTTAAGATTTAATTTTTTTGATAATCTATATTAATTGAAAGTTAAGTGATATTATTTTTCTTAATTATTTCTTATTTCAACTTATGATTCGTATGTTAAATTAACTGTTTACTTTAATGTATTATTAAAAAAAATTATTAACTAAATATAATTAGAATTAAAAAAATTAACATTCATCTTGAACTTCAGTTTTTGTTCAAAACACATTTTAAATTTTGCACGATATTTCCTATAATTTCTATGCTTAATTATACGCATATTTAATAATATAATTCCGATTAAACAAATGCATGTATTATTTTGAAATTTGGCAAATATTTATATTTAAAAAGATTACAATTTTTTTTTTTTTTTTTTTTTTTTTTTTTATATTGATTTTAGTGCCTGTAAACTATTTTATATGCAACAATTGCGGTCGAAGTTATAAATATAAACGTAATTTATTTGCTCACAAGAAGTATGAATGTGGAGTTCAACCAAAATTTAGTTGTGATATTTGTTTTAGAAAATTTGCCCACAGATCACATCTACGGAATCATTTGATTACTATTCATAAAATAATATAATAAATAAATGATGACTGCAATGAAATAAATTTACATTTCAATTTTATTGTATTCATGATATAAATAAATATATTTATATTTAATGTATCTAAATAAACCATTATCTTATTTACATTATTTAATACTAGCAAGTAACTCTTATCATATTTTCCTTTACCTAAACTTAATACTTAGTCAGTTTTCTAATATCAATTGTAAAATATTTTATAAATTTGTAATTATTATTTTCATTGAGTTTTTTAGTTAACAAGTAGTAAGATGGTAAACAGGTATACAAAAGAACTTAACATTTAATTTAAATAAAAAATATTGCGTTTAATAATAAAACAAATTAAAAAATTAGCAATAATATTTATAATTTTGAAACATTTCAAGTTGTACAATATTGTATTAAATAGACATAGATCATAGTTAAATTATTAATTATATCTTAATTAATATGTTTATTTTTCATTATCAGTTGTTAAGTTTCTTGTTTTATTTGTTGTTACTTATATCTTATTTATACAAAACAGATATAATATTATGTACTATACTGTTGTATAAATAAACCATTTTAATAGTATTACTAGAAACATAATATTCATAAGTATGATTTTTTCTTATTTTTATCATAAGTCCATTATAGTAAACACAGTTGTCTCTGTCCTTTACATTAATAGTATAGTAAAACCACACTTTGTATCTAAAATATTGGTAATAACATGGTAGACATTTAAGTATCATCACTTAAAAAATATTTTCAAATTATTATACAGTGTTTATTTAAAAATAAATAAATGTTTATGTATATTTTTATAATATATAATATATATTTTACATTTGAAGATATTGTAAATAATTAATTTAATTACTAATTACAATTAAAACTTTCTAGAAATATAAATATTGAAAAATAGCTTCTATTTAGTTACGTATCCAATGCCAAAAACCTCATCAAATAACTAAATTAGGATATTTATTACTTATATTTATTTTTTATATATTTGTTTTTATTTATAGATTTGATTTCTATTTAAAATTATGCTATTTATTTTCATAATTACTTTTTCAGCACATTACTATCTTAAATTTAACTAGAGAAACCGTCCAATTTTTTTGCACATTTATTTTAGTTTTAATTTTTACATAAAAAATGATTTCATTAAATTAATTTGTATTTTTTACATATGTGCTTATTAATATGCAATGTTTTTATATATTAAAAGTATTAAGATTCAATTGTTATAAAATTTAAATTAAATTAATAATAGCTAGATTCTTGTTCTAATTAATAATATTAATACTATTAATGTTGGTTATTCATTTAAAACAATAATTCTACATGCTCATTTTTTTTTTTTTTTTACCTAATTTGTAGTATTTAAGTGTAATGCACTTAATATATTTGGTGATACTACAAATGTAGGTCTGCAATAATTTAGTATTGTTTCAAAGATAAATTTTTTGGTATTTTATTTTTGTTAGAATTTTTTAAACTTAATTTATCTATTAATTTTTAAAAGCTAATTTGAGTCTGTTATTTGGCTATAATATATGGAAAGTGTTGGTTATTACCTACAATTTTCAATGTTTAAGATATTTAAAAATTAGAAAATTAGGCATATCCTCCATAATGCTTTAATTGTTCACACAATTAGTACAGTTACCAAATTTACAGATTATTCATATTACCTAAGTATATATACACACACACACACACACACATATATATATTTTTTTTTAATGTTTCATAACCCAACTCATTAATAAATTTAACTTTAATAATGTTCATTATATATTATTAATCATATGACACTTATATTAGAATATTGATCTCAAATATTATGAGTTCTGCATATGTAATTTAATTTATTGAATAAAATGTTAATCAACTTGATGTATTATTTTATTAATTTCACCATTCTGGTGTATGTATTATAATGTATAAATATTATGTTTTTAATTTAACGTGTAATATTTGATTTCGGTTTACAGCGCTTATTTTTACTGTTAATTTATTTAACATGTACTTTATACCATACATGCATACATGTAAGGTAATTTAATACTTACTATATTAATTATAGTAATATAGTATAGGTACACCTTCTTATAGCATTTGCTGTTAAGCTTTTTATTGATAATACAATGTATAGTAGTTAATCCAATGCGTTGTTTTCTGTGACTTAATTTTGCGCTAACCTTTATTTTACAGAGAACAACAATTACTTCGCATTCCCTTGTCCTCGGTGCAACAGAATGTACAAACATAGGGCTAGCTTGAATAGCCATTTAAAGCTCGAATGTGGTGTAGAACCACAATTCCGGTGCATCGCATGTGGTAGACAATTCACTTGGAAGCAGCATCTAAAGCGTCATATGGTCTCCGTGCACAAGCTTTTGAACATAAAATGATAAAGAATCTACGAAACTTATGTATCGTTTCTATTATTACGGCTTGTACAAAATAATGCTTTTTTTTTACAATTTATTTCTTGAAATTTTGAATACGAAATCTGTTCAAAAACTACTGGGACAAATATTATCTATCATACCTAATTTAATTAATGTGGTATAGCTTTAAATACAATATAAATTTTAATAAAGTACTCTATAAATATGTATTAACACTTCATAGGAGAATACTTTCCGAAAAAACTCAGAAAAATTGTGAACTTAATGTCTGCGCTAGCATTTGTAATACTAATGATTCTTAAATTTGTGGCTGATAATATAATATCTGAGGTTTCGCATCTTCTATTTTTCTAAACCAACGGGTGTGATTTTTTAAGACTAAAATCTATACTAAAAAGAAATGATATCAAGATGTAGATTGAATAAAAATTAACATACAATAGAACTTTAATCTTTAACTTCAGAACAGTTTCGTAAAACTTATGAAAAATAACACAATCACATTTCGTATTGAGTATTTAGGAGATATATTTACATAATATTATGGAAAATCTTGTATTAATTAAAAGTAAAATCTCGGTAATTTTTGTAACAGACCAAGTATACGAAAATACTACAAAAAAAAAAAAAAAAATGTAATTGTACAAATTACGTCTATTGAATATTTCATCTGGTTCCGTTAATAGATGAATTTAGTATTATATGATTTGAATGTGTGATTTAGTTATAATAGATATTTATATAAAATATGTTTAAATAATCACACTTGCATTCCCCTTGAATTGAACGTTTGAATGAATAAATAATTTAATAATTATATTTGTATCGTATTATAATATGTTCATTGTAAGAATATAATTACCGGTGCGTAGGCGTAACTATTGGTTTTTAACTTCTTTTTTTTTGGAAGGGGAAGGAGCTAGAGTCTTGGCATTTTTAGATAGTAAAATAAAGCATGGCAACAGAGCCATCTTCACACAATTATAATACTATTGAATTTATTGCTTATTAGTTTATGTTAAACAAAATCGGCATTTTTCAAATTTTTCATTTAATCAGCCATATTTAGTATACATAATTATTACCCAAAGAAATCTTAGTAATAATATAACCATTCTGGTAAAGTCAACTATGTCTCTTTTTTAAACATTATATAGTTACACCTATGGCTCGGTAATGATTGTTTTTAAGTTCTGTGTTTAACTACTATCTGTTTACGAATAATGTTATAATCTGTACTATTTATTATATTATATTATATCTTTCATGCTGAAGTTGTTTTTAAATATGTATATGTTGAAGAGTATTGTGAGTATAAGCATATTATTTTGCAAATCATTTTTGCTCCTTGCATATTTCTATAAAATAGTACCAACTATATAGTTATACTAAAAATATATCCAGAATGCTATTCAATTTACGCAGATTAAACGATTATATTATTTACAGCTAAATAATTTATTCAGTGTTCATAATGTTTTGAATAGTGTTTTACTTTTGTCATCTCATATCGAAATTTCTATTTTCAAATCACAATTAAAACATGCTTTTTATAGCACATATTGTTATTTATAATTTATTTTTACTTTTTTTAAAAAAAATACGAATTTATAATTTTTTATTTAAGGGAAATAGTTTTGAGTATAATATTATCTTATACATTCTGAGCTATTTTATAATTTTTACATACTCTTTAATATATATTTAAGTAATAATGAGTTTTTTTCCAGATGGGCTTACAAATACATTTATTTCCTTAGGTTGTTAAAAATGCGAAAAATAATACAAAACATCGTTCTAATTTTATGTTCCATTTGAAATACGAATATGGTAAAGACTTAAGTGCAGACGCGTCATGTGTGGTCGGCGGTTGCTCATTCAAATAGAAACATAACCTGAAACGGTATAGTATAATGGAAAATAATGATTTATAAGATATTAATATTACCAAGTATATTATAAATATATACATACACGACTGTTGAATATGAGATATACATTTTCATTGTATTTAGTAGAGAAATTTATCTAATTTCTTTTTATTTATCAGCTTGTGTTATTTTTATATTTTACTCGTAATATTATGAAAATTATTCATAACTAATTTTACATTGTATTTTTTAGGTAAATCAACAATAACAGAAGTAATTATTTAAAACTATGTTGTAATTGTAGTGAGCGGTTGTGAGTAACACTTCATTATTGATATTGATACAATATACAAGTATTAAACATTACATTAATGAAAAATATAAGAGCATGCAATTAATGTATTAAGATATAATTAACCTATATTAAGGTTTTGAATGTTGTGATTGATACACGGCAATGTGGTGGTTGGTTGGACGTAGATATACGAGTATTCAAGATAAATTGCTACCGCGATAACTATGTGTAGGTCCAATAATATTTTCTAAGTTTTTATGATTGTATGAATCATACTATATTGTATAATATTTTTTTTTATAGATAAATTATTTAAATATTTGTTTTAATTTGATCCAAAGATTTAGTTGGATACAATAATACATGGATTTTAGTTAATTTTTTATGCGAAAAATATTTTATAAATATTAAGCATAACATCTTTTTTTTAAATGTATGAGTTTATTTTAAGAATATTACAATCTATATATCATATATGTGTATAATAAGTAATAATTAAAGTAGAAGTGAGAAAAACTGAGAATGAATAATGACGTGATAAAAAATCTCACATTAAAGATGCCTGGCTTTATATTAATATTCAGATTAATATTTATTTATTGATGGAGACAGTATTTTTTTGACATAGATGGGCTATTTCTAATTGATATTTTAATAATGACTTATGAAAACAGTTTGTATGCAAATAAAAAAAAAAAATGTGTTATCAATTAATATGGCTTATTATTATAAATAATAAATATGTATATAGAATTGAAATAAAATATAAAATTAACAACGAATTACATTTTGCACATTTTTGACAGTATATAGCTAACAGCCTAACAACAATATAATTATTATCAAATACATCTTAAATTCAGAAATTTTGAAAAAACTTAAAAAAATTTTAAGCAAAAATTAGATTAGGTTTCTTTCAACCACGATTTGATGTATTAAGATTATTTTTTTCAATTTCGGCGTAGCTAAAATAAATGTTTACGATTAAGAATTTATTTATAGAAAAGCCAGTTATTATAGTGTCTTAAAATACGCTAGAAGGCTACTATTGTGTATGTTACCGCATGATATTATATGACTTACAAATAATGCTGCACGATAAACACACCTACTTAACAAGTTTATATCTAACTGCATATTATTTTATTGTTATAGGTTTCTGGTGCCCTAATGAAGCGAATGTTTGGGAATGTCGCACGTGTAAAAAAAAGTATAAACATCGGCAGAGTTTACAGAACCATAAAAAATTTGAATGTGGCGTTGAAAAAATGTTTCAGTGTCGTATTTGTAATAAACGGTTTAGGTACAAATGTAGTCTCAATTCACATTTGGGTATTATTCACAAAGTATTTGCATAAATAATTGATGTTTGAAATTTACTAAAAATCAAGTCAAATAGGATTATATTTATAGAAGAAATATTGAATTCACAGAACATGAATTGTTATAATAAAATTAGTGTTTGTGTTACTTATTTTCACAGATTTCTTGATAATTTTTTGGTTTATTATTTTGAAGTTTAAAATTTTACAAAATTTAAACGATTGTATTGTAAATAAACAAATATCTTACACAAAACGTACTACTTTTTGTATTTATTTCAGCCAATAATATTGCTTATTTTTTTATTGCAACCTTCATTAAATTATTATTAACTTTAAAAAAAACTTAATTAAAATGAATTCACTGAATAACAGAATGTTAGGTTGATGTTGTTTTTCATAATTTAAAGTAATACATATATGTTTATTTTATTATAGAAATAGAAATAGATTTTTTATTTTTTTACTTAATTATCAATTATTTTGGTAATTAACGATATCCAGTAATTATTATTTTATTGTTTAGTTTTATGTTTATTAATACCTACTGTTTATATTTTCTAAGTAGTTACATTTACGAATCGTTTACTATAAATTGCAGAGTCTGGTATGTAAATATGTAATAGATATGGAATAGTATGAAAATTATACAAGATCTGTAAATTAATATAAATTTTATTCATATATTTGTAGAACATAATACTAAATTAAAATTATTACAATTAACACTTATAAAAATTGTATTTATCTGCTTAGACTAAACGCTAATGAAGTATTTATTTCAAATAAAATCCCTCGTCAAGTCGGATGTATGTCTCTGATAACTAATGTATCTATACAAATAAGTGTATAAGACAAAATAATACTAAATGTTGTGTAGGTCTTACTTTAGCGACTATAGTCTTTAAGTATAATTTAGATTCCTAACATATCAAATTTACCATTACATGTGTATTACACATTGTATAGTAAAAATTATGGTTAAATTACCAATATATTATTTAGCTTAATATGCTGTATTATTTATTTTAATTACATTTTTTTAAAGTGAATATAATCACTTTTAGTGTTACAAACACTTAATTATATGATTGTTAATTGTTATCATCGGTATCTAATAAAAAAATAGTGAAAGTAATAATCATGTACTGCTTGTTGCTTAACGCTTGATTAAACATTAAACAAACGATCATTTTATTACGTATATTTAATTTCAGCTATAAATTATTAAGGGATGACCGGGAATAGTTGTTATACTGTCACATATAACCGGTACTATTTGCTATGTTTATCAATTTAATTATCTGAATGTATTAGTTTTGATAAAATATTTACTTAAAAACTTATTAATAACTTTAACTTCTTTATGATTTACAGTTAAAATTTTAACTTTTTGCTTAATAGAAATAATATTATATACATAATAATATTATATTATAAAATAAAATAATTGCTTACCCGCGTCTCTGGCTTTAGAAATAAACTGCTATATTGATATTTTAACTGTGATAAATAAAATTATAAATTCCTACTTTGTTAAAGGTTGTACACAATATTAATAACTAACAACTATTATGGGCTTTAGCCTGAGTTATAATTTTTTGAATTTTGTACCGGTCTCTCCTACTCAATTATATTTTATTTTGTTCTTATTCTTATTTAATGCACGTTTCTTTATCTACACCATGATTATAATGAAAAAAAAAAATTTTTTTTTTAGATGCCATATATTATGGTATATTTAATATAACACGATGAAATCTAAATTTGCACAAGGTTTTTTTCCAGAAATTAAAAATGTATTTTCACAGTTTTTTTCATCCTTAGGGGTTTCAGAAACATTCACTTGTCCCAAATGCGGACGTACTTATGACAAACGACCGAGTTTCGCTAAACATTACAAATTTTGCGGCGTAGACTTCGAATGTGAATATTGTGGTAAAAAATATTCTAGATCGGATTCTGTAAAGAAACACCAGAGAGTGGCTCATTCTCTGTACTCGTAAAACTATATTCAAATATTGTGTTCAAAACAAAATCATATTTATTTATTTTATTTACTCATATTTATATTTTATAATTTTCGATAAAAATTTAAGTGTTTTGTGTAATTTTAATGTGTATTTTTAAGTATATTCTATTATCGTATTATTAATTAGATTATAAATTGTATTTGTAAATATGTGGTCACTTGTTATAATAATCAAACGAAGATATTTAAAAAAAAAATACCTTGTGTTCGTTAGTTTTTTTTTATTATAAATATAAATATTAACGAAAAATTAATTAGTTTAACAATTATATATAACGTTAACAGGGTTGTATTTGATTATTATTATTATTGTTATTACTATTATGAATTGTACGAAATTTGGCATGTAACTCCATATTATAGACATATATTTATACTTCTGTTTCGAACTATTTAATAATATATTTTAAACATCCTCAAGTAATTAATGTACATTTTATTCTAGTGTGCTGGAAGTTAAATAAACAAGACTTTGTGATTGTCGACGAACGGTTTCAATGTCCTAATCAGTGTGGTAGAAGTTATAAAGCGTTACATGGTGTCAGACAACATTTACGTTATGAATGTGGTGTAAGGCCTAAATTTTCATGCGCAGTGTGTATGAAATGTTTTGCGTATAGAAACGTGCTAAAAATTCACATGGCAACAGTACATAACAAGTTAAGCAATATGATAACATAATTATTGTTGATTTTAAGATCGAATCATGTATTGCGCTATTCACATTGTATGTAGTTAAACTATTGTTATAAACTAATAATTATTATAATTAAGATGCACTAGTGAAACGAAATGCCAATAAGAACACTTTTAAATCATTAATAAGTAAAATACAATGATTTCTCATAAAATTTAACATGCTTTTTATATTTATATAACAAATTATAATTTTAGTATAGTCTTCCATAGCAGCATTTTATGGATTTGAATAAAAATATACGATGAAATAATCATAAAATATTTGTAAATCTTATATTTCCCATCCGCACAATTAAAATAAAATATGTTTTAAATTAATTTATATTTTTAGTTATTTTTATATCATATATCCATGTACTTTTATAATGAACTAAAACTAATAAATTTATGTTAAACTTTTTGATATATTTATATATAATTAATAATTATACATATAAACATTGCATTGATAAAATATTTACTTTTACAGTTTAATTAATATTGTTCCACATAGGTATTGAAATAGTATTATGTTAAGTAAAACCAACTTATTTAATGACGTTTTATAAATGCACTGTTTAATAAACATTTTAATTTAAAATTTTTACCTTTACAAGCTACTTAAAGAAATTTTAATTAATATTAAAAAAAAAAAAAAAAATTGATCGAATTCACTCTAACGTGCATTTCATACGTGAGTTATAAAAGTTTAAGTAATATTTAAATAAAATATATTTTTGGTATTGACTTTTATTATTATTATTATTTATTAGGTTCTATATTATTATTTTGTATTATGTGTATGTACGTTTTCTCACACAATAAGAAAGAAAATTATAAAAACAAGGTTTTAACTTATCGAATTATTTGTGTTTTATGTAGGTAGGTACCTGTATCCTTATATAAAGTACTTCTAGCTCATAGATGCAATGGTTAGGTAACCTGTGTATGTTTACTTAAAATATTAAATAAAGATATATTTCGCATGTTTAATGATGAAAAATGGTTTGACATTAAATTATAATCATGTAAATATTCAATTAGTAATAAAAATATTTAAATTTATTATAAGGCATTTTATTTTTAATGATTTCACTATTTCTATTGAAAGGTAAATGGTGTAATTATTAAATAATTTTAAAAAGTATGTTGTATAATATAGGTACCAAAAGTATATAAAAAAAATACCTATATGTTTACTTATTTAAGTACCAATTAAATAAGGTAGAAACAATATGTAGATTATCATATCGCTTTATTAGCGCGTATGTGTATTTTGAAAATACAGAATAATAACAAAAAATTAAATATTTTAATTTTATGTTATTCTAAAATATATTTATTTTATATTCGTTATTTTCATAATTCTTATAACACATAATGTTCAGTGTGTTGGCCAAATCTTAATTATATTATGCATATTTAGATATACAATTTAAAACGAATATAGTTTGATGTATATTAGTAATGATATACTTTTGTAGAGAAACTCTAATTTAAAAAATATCATTAATACACAGCTTTTTGTATAAATGCTTCGCTCTGATTAATGTTAATAAACGATCAGGCTAATGTGACGCATTTCAGGTACTAGAATTTGGCGTTGTGTCAATGGACATTGCAGTCGCAGTTACAAGAACAAATTTCATTTAACCTACCACTTGAAGTATGAATGTGGAAAACAACCCTTATACAAATGCGACTTTTGTCTAAGGATGTTTTCAAGAAATTCAAATATGAAGAAACACATGTTTACAGTACATAAATACATTAGTCCCTGACTTTGTTTTTAGAAGTCGATTTTTAATTTTTGATTTTTTTTATCAATGTTATATTCAAATTTGTTGTTCTAGGGCGTAGGCAATAATCAAATTATAAGAATGTTATGAAAAAGCAAAACAATAAGTTGATTTGATGTTGTTTTATATAGGTATCACTTAATTTCACTTTTGTTATTTTACATATCTACAGTATTAAATTTAATATAAAATTACTGATACAAAATTAATTTCTTTATGACTACTTCTTACTCTTGAATGAAACTTTAAAGATACTAAAATAATATCAATAAAGCTGTTAAACAATCACTACAATAATAATACTTCAACTAATTAATGCCTATATTATGTTAATGATTTATTAATTATGTTAATAAACTATTAAACTATTTATAGCAATTTTTAAATACATTTTTTATAAGTTTATAAGTATTTTTGAAGTATCTAACAACAACAATATCAATAATTTTTCTTTCGAGTAACTTTGATAATTGCCAATAACTAATTAGTTATAAAATATTCATTTAAACATTCGAATTTTTTGAATGAAATGTAATTTATGTATTTGACTAATTAAATATTAATATACATATATTAATGCATTGTTTAAAATATTGAAACTTGGGTAGGTATGGTTATATATTAAAATAACTTTCAAGTATTACCTAACTTTGTTACCAGTTACCAAGTATGGCTAGTCACATTTAAATTATTGATAATAAGTATTGAATATATTAACTAATAAAATAATTATTTTATTAGTTAATTTAGGTATCCAAAATCTTTAATAGAAGTTTTATATTTTATAATAGTTCGATATTGTTCCATTTTTTTTTTTACATTCTTTACAGACCTACAGCTTACAATATTAATTGTATAACTTAGTACTTAAAATGTTAAAGAATTGTTACATATCTCCATGTATATATTAACGATTATTCAAATTATTTATTTGTTTATTGGTTTGGAGTTTTTTAATCGTAGTTCCTACTTTTTTATTCAATAAATATTTTCAATTTATTCTACCAATTCAAGTATAATAAATTATTTTGTTTTTAAATTATAATATATTTTTATCAATGTTAAATATTATAAGTTGAATTTAGATTTTATTTGTATTTATGTATATAATTAGATACTTGTTTTGGATTTGTTTTAAGTTTTTTCTGATTATTTTATTTGCCTTCGCCATTTATTTAATTTATTATTATTTTTGTTAAACGTAATAATTTTTTTTTTTTTATTGAACTTAAGCCCGGCGACTAAGGCTATTAGTTGTTATAAGGGTTATGAACTGTGGGTAGGTTGTTTTTACAATTGTTACGGTTGTTACGGTTGATAGCAAACATATGAATGTGTTGCAATAATTTTATAACTACCTGCTATAAACCCGGGTGATCACCCACCCGGGAGCTGTGGCTGTGACCGTTACTTTCAGTCGCATGACTTGTAGAAGCCAACGCATAATATTTTGCGTTCTAACATATACTTGTACGTCTCAAATTTTCTTATAGTTGATAATATTATATTTACTCCATTTCTCCTTACTTTTTATTTATAATTATTGTTGTCATATAGATTATAAAATACTATTGTTTAGACTTGTTGTCTATGTGATGCGGATGTACAGATTTGTACAACAGCTATTATCAAAGTTATAAAAACAAATGTACTCTGGGATTTCATCTAAAATGCAAATACAGCAAACAACTACAGTACGAGTGCAAAATTTGTCTTAAGCTGTTCCACTAAAAATCAAATTTCACTTCACATCTTATATATGTACATCATTCGTCGTTTTTATTTTCTCTCGACTGATATTTTTTCGATTTTGGATAAAAAGTCAAATATTTAATAAGTTCATTTTATGCATTTGTTGTATACAGTATGCTTACTGTTAAAAAAAACCTTTGCGTTTATTATTTTATTTGCTGTAAATCTTTAAACGATAACAACATACACGTAAATTATGTTAGTAAATATATTTATTAGAATGATAATAATGACTGAAAATTGATTTTAGTGCATAGCTTTTATATTTCTGTATAATTATTGCTTATGTTGAATTACTACTATTGTTATCGTAATATACAGGTATAGTTAATACTTAATATACATTATTGATGCTGCTTTAATCAAAATATTGTTAAAAAATAAAACAAATTATTAATATTAACGTGTTCAATTGTATATAAAATGCTTTTAACCTTAAAAATTGTTTTTACTGTATCTCATTTTTACGTTGTATATTTCAGATGAACATAAACTCGTTAATTCATTTTGCAAACCAGCTGAGTACTGCAAAAGCCCTATTTTAAAAGGATTATGTCCCTTTTGCCCAGCGAAACTGACGGAAATCAATTGTTTAGATGAGCATGTTCTAGATTTCCACAAACCTTTATTGTTCGCCTGTGATAAATTATATAAAAATTAAATAAAAGTAATAAAAAATATGTAACAAGTCGATAAATCTATCATCGATGTATCTTAAAATATATATTTTACTCTGTTAGAAACATGGGTTTTTATTGAATAAAGTAAACACTACTAATGTATGCGTTTATTGGTTGTTTTTACGTTCTCTTCGTCCAACGGTAAGTATCTATATATATTTAAGAAACAACGAACACTAATACACGATTTATATAATATGATTCAGGGTGGTCATTGTATAGCTTTATGTAGGTCGTAGAAATATATCTTGTATGGGTTGACGTACTAATAAAGTTATGAAATTTTTGGTATGCACATAATATTATGTATTGTAATACATTAATATACACTGTAAACCATATTGTATCAAACTATACAAGTTTTATTACATTTTGTTATTTTCTCAGTTGAACCTGCAAACCAGCTGTTGCTTTATCCGTGTCCGAACAACTGCGGAAAGAAGTATAAATTCAAAAGCAGTCTCAGTGGCCACCTTAAATATGAATGTGGTAAATCGCCAATGTACAAATGTCCGTATTGTAAAAAAAGATGCACATTGAAAGGTAACATGAAGAGACACATCGTATTGGTGCATCATAGGAAAGCGGTCGAATCTGATTTCAATTTGCAATTTACCGCAACAACTACGTTTTTTTAATTACGAGTGATTCGTTCTCTTTGTAATCAGTGGTTACCTATAATTTATTTAAACCTACCTACTTTATATTATTGTATGTTTTTATTTATAGTTATTTGTATAATAATAAATATAATTATAATATAATATACTGGTTAAATGGATAAATATGTTTACATTAAAATATTGTGTGTATACAATATGTAAATATTTATGTATTGTGTATATTATAATTATATATATGGACTTAATACATTTTAATTATTGTATTTGTCAAGTATTTAGCAGTTAGTTTTGATACTATGAATGACTTTCAATAATCGCTGCTCTATTCCAGTATACACAATCCAAAAAGACTGACATTCTTTCTTTGGGCTAGTTATACTTATTTATATCTTATATGTATTGTATAATGCATATAAAGTAATTTGAATTGTGTATTTATGTTACGTGCAATATTTTGTATTAATTTATTATTAATAATAATTACATAATATTAATGGAAAAAAAAAACAATGATGAATTTATTCTCAATTATAATTTTATTATATTCTGAATATTTTAAAACAATTACTGTAATAATTATATACATGATATTGATTCATAATGGTTACGTTTATACGCAGATTTAGCGTTACGAACACTATACTGCTAAATGTGTTGAATAGAATAATCTCAATAATTTTACCCTTTTTTGTATTCAACCATTTACAACTGTCAATTTAATCCAATTATTTATAACTGAAATCAGTTAATATTTTCTTTAGATACTCTCATTTTAATATTCAGCCGTGGAGTGATACAAAATAAATAGGACTATCCTGAACATTAATCAATCTAATAATTTAACTGTATCATATCTATCTAAATTACCTAAATTTATTTATACTGTATCTATATTGTTACATCAGGAATTTTTCGATAGTCATTCAATCGTATAAACAAATATTTAATATTATGATTTATGACCATACTAATGATTGCAGACTGATCCTTGTGTTCAAAAGATATGGAAAACTCGAGTGCGGCGTGCTACCGCAGTTCGAGTGTACGATGTGTAGAGACGCATTCAAGTAGCGCTACAACGCCAATGCCTTGCGCGTTGTGAACATTCATAATTATTATATTCGATTGAGCAGACTTTTTCTGTATATGTGAGTTGGACATGTCACGCATTTATCAGCCTCCACATAATAATTATATCATAATTGTATTAATATACCAGTCACAGAACTATATATTCACTATGAATTATTTTTTCTTTTAATGGTAAAAAAAAAAAAAAAAGATAAAATGAAAATAACCTTCTCTATATGTATGTATTATTACTAAATATAACATATTGTTTTATCGCTTATAAGCTTAACTTATTATATAATTGTAATAATTGCGGGTACTTACTTGAATCAAATAATATTCTTGCTGCTATTATCGCTTCATAGCTACTCAATCACACTATTAACTCGTAGGATCCAGTGTGTGTTTACCAACGACAATGTTTATGTACTTGTTATATTATATACAATGACTAATAAAATAATAATCATACCGATAAGGGATAATTCATTTAACGTAAGACATTCATTATATTAGAAGAAAATAAAATTGTTTTTACTTTTATCGTAATTTTTTAAATTTTTTACTCTTTTAAATGACAACTTACATTTTTTAATCCAAATTCTGGATAAAAATATTATTTAAAATATAATCTATAAAATAAAATTTTTGACAAGTACTTTATTAACTTATAAGTATTTTAAGTTTAAATGAGCTGAGTTTTGGGTTAACATTTTGCAGGCTACATTATGTACTACTCTACTCCGCTCATCAAAACCTAAAATATTTATAGTTCATAAACTGATAGTCCAAAATTCTTATCTATCGAAGAAAAAAAAAAAAGGTTACTTGATAATAAAGAATCATAAATACCAATTAAAGATATTTAAGAAAATGTTAATAGTTTTTGAAATAATGAATGTTTAAATAAAATGAATGTTAAATCGATCACTCGGTTATAAAACGTATATATACTATATAAATTATAGATATAAGACTCGTAAAGCTCCGTGATCTATAATAATCGCTTATCCTTGTTTTCTTTTCATGATTTCAGTATCCAGATTCATATGCACAAATGGATGCGGCCGATCGTACAAGTATAAGCAAGGATTGGGACGGCATCAGAAATATGAGTGTGGTGTAGATCCAAAGTTCGAGTGTCCAATGTGTGAAAAAAGGTTCAAGCAGGCTTGCAATGTTAAGTCCCATTTTGTGAAATTTCACAAAATTATTGTCATTGATTGACCAAATAGTTTCCGTGCATGCGAGTTAGATGTTTCACACCTTTTGTCATTTGTGACATAAATATGTCATTGTTATAGCAATATTGTAATTTTTTTTTTTATTAAAATTTACTATCTCTACTAAATATACCATGCGTACAATAAATAAATTTTATGAGGAAAGAAATCGGGAGGTATAAGTGGGAAATTCACCCAATGGTGATACCCCAGGGCCTAGAATATTATCATATGATATGTATGTTTTATAAATAAGTAATCTTTTTACTTAGTTTAAAAATCATATTGTATTAATTATAAATTATTTTTTTGTTTTAATGTCAAGTCAGAAAAATAAGATAAAATAAAAATAACTTTCTCTAGATGTTTTTATTATTTCTAAATTTATATTTTGTTGTCACCACTGATATACTTAACTATATAATTAAAATTTCTGCGCGTAAATGACTCATGTAAAGTTTATAGCTACATTCTCATAATATATACATACTTAAAAGATTAGCCAGAATGTATTTATCGGTGACAATATACTTTACCTATGTAATAATTTAATCAGTAAAATATTATAGTACTTACATATATCGCGATAAACGTACCTATAGGTATCTATACTAATGACTTCGTGATCCAAAATAATCGCCTATCCGTGCTACCGTTTATAATTGCACTGTTCTGGTTCATGTGCTTGAATGAAGTGTACAGTTGGTTGTACAAATACAAATATATTATAGATTGGAACAGCATCAGCAATTCGAGTGCGACAATGTTGCCCTAGATTAAATGAGCGGTGTGTAGCAAAGTGTTCAAGCAGCTCCGAGACATTTAAAGGCACATTGAGAACATTCACAGTAGTATCTTCGATTAAGTGCCTATCTTAGTCATAGTCTTAGACAGTTTTGTTAGTCTTGAATTAATGCTTCAGAATTACATAATACCAACCTAATTTTATGTTTATTACTAATTAAATATAAGGTATAATCATCTAATAATTATCTATTTAGGTACGTACCTATAGTTCTAAACGTCACATCATTGTAACGTGCATATACATGTATGTATTTATCTTTTTATTCTATTTTTATGTGTAGTAAAAAAAAAAAAAATGAAATTAAAAATGATCTCATAGATGTGTATTATTACTAAATAATAATATTTTTTTTTCACCTTATGTATTCTTACCTGTATGTATAAAAGATAAAAATTATTTTAGGTTACATTCTTAAATAAATCAATTAATATTTGTCACTCTTAAACTTGCGTGACTGCGTGCATCCGTGATTACCGCCATATGACTTGACCACATTTTATATTAATTTAAAGTCCCGATAGTGTTTATCAACAATACAATTATGCTTGTTATAATATTATCTATAATAGTTAAAATCAGTACCAAATATAGTACCTATATAAACCGTAACCATTTGACGTTGTGATTTATAATAATCGCCTATCCATGTTAATATTTATAATTACAGTGTCTCAATTCGTGTGCCCTAACGGATGTGGCAGATCATACAAGTACAAGAGAGGAGTTAAACAACACCTGCACTACGAGTGCAGCGTACCTCCGAAGTTTAAGTGTTCGCTATGCCACAAAAGTTTTAAGCAGCGTGGCTCGTTCAAGCTCCACAGTTCTAGAGTTCACCACGTATTCATTGATTGAGTAGACAGTTTTACTATATTATAATTTGATGAACAGTTATTGTTTTTAGTTTCATAGAAGATAACTGTACCTAGTTTACGATTTTTATAAATCGTGATATTGTATTAGTATTTGATATTTTTTTGTTTTAATGTGCAGTCAAAATAAGAAGATAAAATAAAATTAACTTCTATTAATTTACTAAATAATATCATCTTATTTCACCTTTATATTATACAAAACTATGCTGTTAAAATTAAAACACATGAATCAAAATGCAATTCTTCACTCCTATCTGCAATTTTTTTTGTCTTAAAATACAATCACACTGGCCACTAAACCTATTTAGCGGAATCACGGTCAAAGGAGTCCAGGGATCATGTCAAATCATGGGCGCGGCTCTCGCCTCCATAATCAAACCCCCGTTCATTAGGTTGGTTTTGCGCGGGATTTTGGTTTCGTTGGAGAGCCGGTGATACTTTAGCCGGTAGGCCTCGTGAGTAACATATCAGGGTTTTCACACTACGCGAGAAACAGCTACTGCGGTGTTCGTTAGTCTTGTTGACATGAGGTCATTTCTCGTCATGTAATGCGACGAGTGGCAGCTGTGAACTTTCGTAGCTCTTGACTAGCGCACAGCGCTAATGTGAAATCTGCGGCTGTAACCGCAAGACAACAAACTTGGGAGTCTTCGTAGCAATTGAACCTGTATTGGTAGGAGCCCAGAAAGTGTTTATCTATAATAACTTGCTAAACTTATTTGTAATAATAAATGTAAAGTACTTTTATTTATGAACTATATAAATAAATAGGGTACTTTAGGACTTTGTGATCTATAATTAACTGTGTTATCATTTATGATTACAGAGTCCCGGTTCGTATGTTCAAACTGATGTGGCAGTACAAGTACAAGCAAGGAGTTAAACAACACATACGTGTAGCGTTCCTCAAAAATTCAAGTGTTTGCTGTATGATAAAAGTTTTAAGCAGCGTGTTTCCCTCAGGATCCATAGTTTAAACGCTCACCACATATTCATAGAATGAGTAAATCGTTTCATTGGAATATAATTTAATTATCAGTTATTATTTTATGTTTAATGAGATATATTTGGCTTACAAATTTTAAAACCATGGCATTACTTTATAAATTTTAATTTTAATTTTATTGTTTTAATGTGCAGTCAGAAGAAGAATATAAAATAAAAATTACTTAAAAGACACGTATTAATTTTCTAAATACTAGCATGTTGTTTTACTTTAATACATGGTTCTTACTTATACTTAAAATGAATGCATATGAATTAAATCAATAATAACCGTTTGTTCGTGTTACTTTTTATAATTACAGAATCTCGATTCGTGTGCCAAACGAATGCGTTTGATCATATTAGTACAAACATGGAGTTAAGTAACATTAGTGCGGTGTGCCTGGTGCCTCTAGTATGTTAAAGTGTTCAGTATACAGTAAAATGTTAAAGATCCATAGCGACATAAACAAACATATATATATATTTATGTGCTTACTGCACTACGTAATCATCGAAAACCTTAAGCCGCAAAACGTTAATTGGGCCTATACTGTATTGAACTTCCATCGTACCTAATACAATATAATCATACCTACTTAACTGATACATATTCTATTTTATGATGATTTCAAGGATAATTTATTGTTTTATATTTCAACAACACTGTTTTTATATTGTTCATTGTAATACTATTAACCATTTTTTTTTATTATATATGTATATCTGATCAATGATAAAAATATTCAAAATATCGTATGTTTTTTGTTTTTATTATTAATTTGTTCGATATTTATTTACCATTTATCTAATTACTTTGTTATGTAGAAAAATAATATGCACGTGTTGTATTATAAATATATATTTAACGTATGTCATCACGAAAAGTGTGAGATCAGTGCAGCAATAGTTTGTCGGCATTTAAAAAAAAGGTGAATTGTCTTGTTCTAATGTTATGGTTATGTATTTATATTTATTTATTATTATTCATGTGTATTATAGTTCCATTTTTCTTCCGCCTGCTTTTGCCTTTATACTCTTTTCGTAATGCCTTTACTTTCGACCTCGTTATAGTACCGATTAATTTTAGTTCGATGACTTGATTGAGCTTAAGCCTTGAAGTATTGAATTGTTGGCTTTTAATTATATCCACATGCTCATACCATGTACAACGCCACATTTTATATTATCCAGTAGCGTTCTCAGGAATTCTCAATTATGGGTGAAAGACATGATAAAATTACAAAACACCTTTTTTACACACTCCTTAAAATATATTAAAATATAAGGTGTATTTGGGTGATTTGAAAATTATTTTTAACTCGTTCAACGACGATGATTCGCGTAATCGTTGTAGCTCAATTTTATTATTTTTGTATGTTATCCAAAATGGTCGGCTGGTGGCGAATGATCATTATATTTAGCACGGCTATTCTGCAGTTTATATATTAGAATAACAACAAACAGCTGGTATTGGTTTCTCGGTATTTTTATATTTATAAAACATATTATCAATATAAATATGGTATAACTGTTATATGTTAAATAATTATTATTTTCCTATAAAATAATTCATATTTCAATATTTGCTTATTATTTTTATTTATTTAATTGTTTTATATAATTCATTATTATTAATATAATATGATGAACTTATTCTCCATCCCTGAGAACGCCTGCCTGCATATATAACACACAACAATAACATAATTTAAGATAATATACGTCATGTATTTGTATGTGCGTATACGAATTAAAGCTATATTATATTTTAATATTACTCTCATTTACTGAATCCAAGATTTACGAGTTGTGTTTTGTTCTTTTTTCTGTTCTCGGCCATATCCATGAGTAGTTTACATGATACCATTACAATCGATCGACTACACTTACGAAGAACATATGTTGCGTAGAGCTGCTGCCTTTAGAACTACCCATTCGCGGATTATGTGCCCAAAAGGTTGTGGTCGTAGCTATAAGCGGGTGGAGCACCTAAAGCGGCACATTGGGTACGAGTGCGGTGTCGAACCAAAGTACCAGTGTCATGTTTGTCAACGCAAGTTCGTGTACAATTTCAGTATGAAGAAGCACATGGTACTCGTGCACAAAGATCAATCCTTGGGTCCTGACACTATTACGTCCGTTCCGTCCCTCCGATCCCCACCTATCAGTAAGTAGTCTCCCGCAGTAAATTTGTCGCTATCCAAATCATTGACGACCAATCACAATAACAATGTAATTTTGCACCCACGGAATCTGTGTCAAAAGAGTGTGTTGCAGATCTACGGCTATCGAAAAAATTAGAAGAGATGACACATATTTTTATCCTGATACCTGTTTATTTAAAATTTACATTAAAAATTATTGATATTCGTCTTAACGCCACAAATTAACTAGTAAAAATAAGTTTCTTTTAAAAATAATTTTAATCTTATTAGGCGATTTTTATTATTGTTTTTTCTCTGTTTTCAAAAATGTAAACAATTTGTAGTGGAGCTATATGTACTGAAAACGAAAAAATATATTTAGATTTGAATTGTATACGTTATGTACGTATACCACAATAAGCCATAAGTCCACTTTAACTTAAAATCTAAATGCATGTTTTAATGTTTAAATTATTTTAAGTTTATTATATATACTCGTACTATTATTAAATTTGTTTAATATTATTTAAACTTTTATCATAATTTTTTTGAGTTTTTCTATGCGTTTTTTGAAATATATGCATCTAAAAAATCATAATAATAGGAAAATAGTTGTATTATTAAAGAACATTTAGTTTTAACAAGGTGTTTCGCCTATTATTGACGAGCAAACATTAATCATTTATATAATAATTATTACTACCTCATTTTGCGTTTGATTTGTAAGTGTGTGTATTTTTTTTTCTACCTACTGCTACTACTCTATTAAAATGTTTAAAGCCATAAAAATTACTGTTAGCTTAAATGTTTAACCTATTTATTTTGTTTTGCTTTGATAGGCGAATATTATCAATTATACGAATACGATTAAATACACTACCTAATCAAAACTATTTATAAAGAGTGTTAATGACAATACGATAAACATTATGAAATATTTTGTTAAACTTAAACTAATAACAATATGCAAATGTCAACAATGCAGTAGGTTTCTATGTTAATTAATTTTGGACCCTAAAAATTAGTAATTTATTAATTATCTGTAATGTTCAAATATCTATTCTTTATACATGTACTTTGTACACTGAATTTAAATAAAAACTTTCAAAGTCGGTAAATTTCCACCCTTCGGAGTCATTACAATTATGTATTAAAGTACTTATGAATTTTTGTTGTAAATTTGAACTTAATGTCTTAACGGTATACAAAAGTTATTAATTAATTATTATTATATTATGACTGATAAAACGAATTTGTTAATTATAATATTATATGCTTTATTTTTTTTTTGTCTATGTATTAAATACTCTATATTATATAATAATGTAATTTTCAAAATTAATAACGTAATAATTGTAGACAATTATGTATTAATAAAAAAATAAAATAATTTTAATAAATGTTCTGTATATTTTTTTAGCATAAACATTGTTATAATAATGTATATACTTATCGAAATTTTTGTGTAAGACAATTATCTATATCAAGAAGAGAAGAAATCTCCAGATTAATTTCAGAATTAATTAAACAATGATTTAAATTCAAAAATTTTAATTGTTTATACATACATAAACATATTTATTGCAATATTAAAATTAAAATTGGTAATTTATTGCTGTAATTTGGTAATATAATATGAAGTGTTTAAATTTTTTTTATAATAACTGCAAGTAATGTGATAACTTTAAACTAATTAATAATCAAATCATGTGATTTAGATTTAAATGTTTATTTAGCCTTTTATTTACTTATTTATTTATTTTTTTTTACAGGAATGTATTACTCTATAATTAGCTGTATTTTGAAGTTTATATTTTTTTGGAATTAAAAGTCTCATTCATTTGAGCTTTATATTGGAGCTGTAATTCAACAAATTGCACATGTCTGAAAAGTGGTGCTATGAAGTATTAAGATTTTATGTTTGTTCACCAACAATGTTTTCTTAAACATGATTTATACATACTAATTTAATATTGTACCGTGTATAATAAAATGTATCATAAAATATTAATCATTCTGTGTTTAAATTTAAAAAAAGTTTATGTTGACAAACAAACAATGCACCAATTATCTTAATAAGTAATCAAGAATAATAATTATTTTATTTTGAAAATACGAATAGTATAATAATACGTAAATATCAAACAATATTATTACTAATAGTAGTTTGTTATTTGTTTTTTTTTTTTTTTTTTGTTTTTTATATCCATTTACGTTTTTTAGAGGTTTATGATTTATGAATAACCACCTGATATGTATGTATCCAGAGTATGTACTTAATTGTAGTAGTAAATTTAAATATTAATATTGTTTGCTTGATTGTTGTGTGATTGATTATGATATTTTAAATGACATTGAATTATAACTGCTAAGATATTTTATTTTCCCAAAATACGGATGAATGACATTTAAATTACATTTATGCAATTTCTTCTTCTGTTATCAGGTGCTGATGAGTCTACTGCAATGCCACTAATGTATCGCTGTCCAAAAAACTGCGGTCGACGATATACACGAAAAGATTCAATGAATCGTCATGTAACATATGAATGCGGCGTTGAGCCTCAGTTCAAATGTAGTTTTTGTAATAAAACTTGTGCCCAAAAATATAATCTTAAAAAGCATATGATCACTGTGCACAATTATATTCATTTTAATCACTCTTAATTGTTATACAACATATTTAACTTTTAGAATACTAAAATTGACAATTATGTAAATATATTAGAGATACTTCTTTTTTTTTTTTGTTATAATATTTAATTTTACAGAACTATTTCATTTATATTAATTATTTATTGTTTGATGTGTTGTTTAAAAAATGTATAATAATGATTTTCTATGATATACAAAAAACAATATACTATGAACATGTTTGGGTTAAAAAGTATTATAATAAAAAAATTATAATTTAATTTTTATCTTCAATTCTTTCAATCATTTTTATGCTAATATACTTTCCTGAAATAATTGATTAATCGATCTCCATAAATAATAAAAGATACCCAATTTGTGAAATGCTATTGTGTGTGTATATATGTATATATTTTGTGTATTTAATATTTTGTTGAATATAAATAATTATTTATATTTAACAGTGCTTTATGGCTATAGTTAATTACTAACAAAATATTTTTGTTTTATAATATTTATTGATTTCATAATAATGGAGTTTTTTATTTTTATTTTAGAATTAAGAATTAAAACAAAACCAAAATTAGATACAGTTCCAGCGTTATCAGCAACTAACATTACTCTACTACCTGAATCAAAAAAACAAGAACCAAAGAAATGTTCTGTATCTGTAACTAAAACAGAAAATTGTTATAGATGTAAAAACTGTAAAAATATAATTTTAGGTCCAAATGCTGAAAATCTGTATGTAGAACATATTTTGACATGTCTTGACACAAACAACTTTGAATGTTCAATATGTTTTAAAAAATTTGCTCATAAACGTGGTCTTACTAATCATTTAAGACTTACACATTTAGTTTTTGACTAAATATTATACAAAATATAGTAAATAATAATTTGAATATTTATCCTAATTATTTCGCCGATTAAACACTAATTTTAATTTCACCAATAACTTTTTTAATTGTTAATTTCAGTTCAAGGTTTATAAGTTTTTTTAGAATAGAATTTATATTTCATTTCTTTTATAAAAATTAATTATTATTTTACTTTTTATTTGAAATTATAGTCACTTAATACAAATAGCATAAAAAAATGTTATTTTTTTAATATTAATGAATAGAATATGAAAGTATATGTATCATTTAATTTTATGTTTAATTGATCTAAATAAATGACGAATAATCTAAGGTACTAAAACAAGTACTTGTTAGTTTAATGAACATAAATATAATAAATATAGTAAACTCTTTCTTCTAAAGTAAAATATGTAAATAGCTGGTAGTAATATTAGAAAAATTACATATCTGATAAATGTATGATAATGTTAGTACCTATTGCCTCTTAATAATTATGACAATTATTGTTATTATTGTATATGTCACGATTTACCAAAGATTAAAATTTCAGTCAATATTTGTTTTTTCTGTGTTTTAATATTAAATTAAAATATGTACTCTTATAGTCACTCTAATATACTAACAGGCCCGAATTGGGAGAATACCGGCCTTCTATTCACAGTAAGCAGGCGGCCATAAGATCATAGATACAATATAAAAAGAGACCTTTTTTTTTGCACATTAATGCACATTAATTGTTTAAAAAAACTCAAGTATTTTATTACAAAATTGAGGTATACGGCCATGCCAGCAGTAGCACAGAGGCCCAGTCCGGGCCTGCATACCAATAATATTAGTATTATTCTGTTTGTTATTATAATTGATATTGTTATGATTAGCTTTATTACTGTGTATTTTTATTTAATTATAAAAATTATAAATAGCCTATACAATAAATATATAGTTATTGCTTAGATTTAGAGAATACTGTTTAGTAGAAATACCATATAACGAAATACATAATACTAAAATTATATATATTATATTATATTATATTATATTATTAATACATTTTTCTTTAAAGTAAACACTGTTAAATATTTAAAATTGCTTATTATACATAATTAATAATTTACTGCTAACCTTAGAAACTAAGAAAACATTATCATCAACTAATTAACTTATGTGATAAGTAATAATGTATTCTTAGTGTGTAGTATAATAGGCTTAAGAATAAGTATTTTTGAAAAACCAATTAATTTATTTTTCTATTAATACAGATGTGATGTTTTGGATGACAAAACTGGATCAAATTGTAAAATACAATCCTACATTTTGTCCAAATAATTGTGGTCGAAAATTTGGAGGAAACAATCGAAAAAGTAATCTTAAATTACATTTGTTGAAAGAATGTGGAAAAACTGCAACTTGCTTATTATGTATGAAAAAATTCAATAATGTACGCAATTTGAAATATCACTTGGGATTCGTTCATAAAATTATTTATAATTCTGGAAATTGAAACAATATAAATTGATTGCATGTTTTGTATTAACTATTATTATTTTAACAATGTCAAATCAATAAAAATATTTCATATGGTATTATTTAGGTATTAATCACCCAATTTTTCAAATTCTAAATGGATTTGACTTTTTATCTTATTTAAATAATTTTATACTGGAATATGACTTATAACTTGTATAATAATGTGATGTATACACCAGAATTAAAAATATAAATATTGAAAATTGGCACAAACTTTAGTAATGACAGTTTATTATTTTATTTATAATCCTTCTATTAGAAATACAAATTAGTATTACTGATACATTTTATATTCGACAGGTTTGTTTTATCAACGGTATTTTTATACTAAATATTTGCTTATTACTGAACACTAATGAAAGACTTCTGTTTTAATATTAATTACGAAACTAAATATAATAATATACCAATATTAGTTATATATTTATTAGATGGTTATGATTATATTATAAACATAGTTTGGCTTTAATATCAAATATTTGTTAAATTATTATAGTTGAATCATTGTTTACTGTTGCATTATTTAAACAAAAATAAAACTATTAATATGATAGATGTGGCCTTAGTTTTGACCATGAAACAAAAATTATATTAATTAAATATGTGATTTTGCGATTTATTTTATGTATAAATAGAAAAAATTAACAACGTCTAAACCAGCTTGAATTATATTTGTTGGGTTTTTATATTTTTGTATTTAAATATTTTATTTTATTAAGGTGTGTTTATTTTTCTTTACAGATTTTATGTTAAAAAAGAACGATTTGTACGCTAATGAAAATCCTGTATATTGTCCAAAAAATTGTGGACGATGTTACAAGGGAATGTGGCGTAAATACAACTTGCAGAAGCACTTAAAATTTGAATGTGGAGTAGCACCACAATTCAAATGCCTAGCCTGTCCAAAAAGCTTCTCATTGAAAGCAAATTTGAAAATGCATATGATGGTTGTTCATAAAATAATTTTAGGATCAAATCACAATACTATGATGTCATAGAAGTTATCGACTATTATATATTTCGACTTTAATCACATAATAAAGAATGTTAATATTTTAGTGCCATATATGTAATACATATTTAATACATAATACATTTACCAATTCATTTTTAGTTAGTATTGAATTACTATTTTGTTTTTTTTTTTCAAATGTTTATTTAAATTAAACATCAAAAAGTGTAAATTAACACTGTTTATTTAAGCTATTTATTATTATTCTAGTATTTTTATAGAAGCGAAAATTAAATTCCAATTAACAACCTATATAGATACTGATAATAGTTTAGAAATTAAGCTCAATTCAAGCAACAGTATATGGGATAAAAATATTATTTTAATGTTGAATAATTTTAGAATTTTTGATTTTGTTATAGTTACCATATTATTTCTTCAGATAAGAGATTTGGTAGTTACTCATTTTATTTCTGTTTATATTAGTTACCAAAAATTAATGTATAGTACACCTATAAACATTTATATTAAAATATTGTATGTATATTATTATGTTCAAATTATCTTAATGTTCAACGTTGTAAACTTTTTAATACTTATTTATAAGATGTCGCCAATTAAAAAAAAAAAAAACTATCAAATTCTAAGTTATTGATGAATATATGTGAATAAAATAAAATTTAAAACAATAAATATATATCACATGTTTTACATACCATTTTATATAGTACAAATAATAATAATATATTTATTTTTTTCAGTTTTTTTTCACATTACAATATACAGATATACATATTACATATATATACGTATATGTTGATGTTCACTCTTGAGGAAAATAATTAATAAAACTATTCATATTTTTTACTTCTATAGATAGATAACTTATTAATTGTGTTAAAGAACTGTTATTATAATTATCATTGAACATATTATTTAGTATTTGATATTTGTATGACATTATTGCACATTCCCTATTAACTGATACCTATAATATATGAACAACTGTATTTTAGTACTAAGGACTTGTATTAAAATATTCAAGTTTTTGAAAAATATTATCACAAATTTAGGCCATTTGTATACAAGTATAATATAACATTCTGTTTCATATTATTAAGTAAAACTTGTAAAATTACCTATTAAGTTTAAGAAAAACGCATATATAGTTGCTTTGCTTAACCCTCCCCCCCATTTTATCATAACCTTTTATTGGTACCTTTTGAACTACTTTATTGGTACCTACTGTCACAATGCATGTTTTCAGATCAAAATATATTACTACGTCGTGTAGAGGAGGCCTCAATTTATGATCCGGCGTATTGTCCAATCAATTGTGGCAGGTTTTATAAAGGTCAACATCGAAAAATAAACCTACGTCGTCATATTTTTGAGTGTGGTGTACAACCAAGATTCCCTTGTACAATATGTAAGAAACGATTTTTCCGAAGGTACCAACTTAAAATACACTTAGAAAGAGTGCACAATGTATGTCCTTCTAATTTACACAATCATAGTGAAATGTGTACTATTATAATTTAGTAGTAAAACTTGAATTTCCTTAATCAAAAAATTCGATCATAAATTTTAATATTTATTTATTTATTTATTTATTTATTTTTTTTTTTTTTGTTAATTATGAGCTTGATAATGTATGTATATTTCAGGATATTTACTCGCTTTTATCAAAATCAATTAAGAACATTCATTTTATATCAGTATATTCGTATAATAAAATTAATTTATTGTAATATATACGTTTGTTTTAGTACCCCAGTAAAAAAAAATCTTAGTTACCTATATTTTATTATAAATGAATATTTTTAATATTACGTTTATAAAAAAACAATCGAATAAAATCAAGTAAAAAACTTCTATTTTAAATAATAATATTTTTCATTGTTAATACGTTTTAATTGTATATTGTTTTTTGTAAGTGTTATTCGTTATATTATATATTTAAGTACTTATTTATTTGATAAATAAATTATATATTTAGCTTTTGATAATACTATTCTAGTACTCATTAGTTATTACTTATTATTAACTAATTAAAACCAATTTTTTGAAAATTTGGTTCGAATATTTATATTAGTAAATAATCACTAAAAAATCAAAATTTTTACGACTTATATAAATTACATATTAATATATTAAATTTATTTATAAAAAAATAATCGAACTTTTAATTATTAAAAAAAAAAAAATGTTAAGTTTTATTTAATATTTAAACACGTTTTCCAATATACCAAAAATCAGAATCAATGCTAAGTCCCTTTATATAAATTAATAAATATTATTTTTTATCAAATCTACATTTTGTTGTTCAAATATTACTAATAAAATCGTTCCCAGTTATTTAAATAATACTATTGTAATATTTTATAGATACTGAAGTAATGCTTTACATTTATTCATACTAACGGTGAAAATATCTTACTCAAAAATCAATCTATAGTAGGTACCTAATGTCAGACATTTATCTTAAATTAATATGTAAGAATGTTTACTTCGACAATTTGTTAGAAGACTATTTCCATGTTTCAAACAACAATATTATTATAATTGAAGCTTCAAGATTTTTTATATTGTCATTATTTATGCATTAAATAACATATAAGTATATTATTGAATTACTCTCATAGTAGTATCTCATAAAGTCATAAGTATTGTATTAGATAAAATAAAATTTACAATATATGTCTTGCCGCTTTTGTGATAGTTAGCAAGTTTAATTTTTTTTTTATATATATATATTTATATATAGCTTTAATGATGATCCTCTTGCTTCTAAAATGTTTTTGTTCTAAATATTCACTTAAGGCATTAATATTGGCCACACGTGAGTTAATATCCATTTTGATTACATTTACAGGTGTTTACACAAATTTTCCAAAGTTATACGAATCTGACCCAGTTCCGTGTCCGAATTATTGCGGTCGTCTTTATAGGGGTTCACAACGAAAATGTAATTTAAGAAAGCATTTGAAATTGGAGTGTGGTGTGGCGCCTATGTTTTCGTGCAGAATATGTTTAAGGAGATTTACTAGAAATGAAAACTTAAAACGACATTTAGTAATTGTACATAGAACATTAAAAAATATGATGTAATAACACTTATTACGATTCTAAAACTGTTGGAGATTTTATAAATCGATTTATTAAACTTTTAACATTTTAGAAATATCCACACAAGTTTTCATTGATGTTTTGAACTTATTTCAGTTTCATCCTCAAAGTAGTAGAATCTGTATCTGAAATCTTTTGTTGCATCATGATATTTTATTTTACAAATAATAAAAGATAAAGATCAACATTTTTTTGTAATAATTAATATATTGATTTTATTAATTTTAGTTATAATAATATTACATGTGATATTAATTTTACATATTAGATTATATTTTTAATAAAATTACATAAAAAGATATTTCTAGAAAAATATCCATATAACTTTTAATAATATAATACTATTATAAATTGTGCATATAAATTTACATTATTTTCAGTTTTAATTAATAATATATTAAAAATAATATTATGCATAGGTGAATTATTATTTTGTTAGCAATAAAATATTTTGCTTCTCAATAGTTTTAATTTTAGTAGACAATAGATGGTATTCAATGGAAATTAAATTATTAAGTTATTTGAAATATTATATACACAACATATTTGAAATAGCTGTACTCACTTGTATAATTATTTGTATATTCTTGCTCATGTATAAATCTGTGATATTTTTTTTTATTTTCTTAGTGATATAATGCATTCTATGTTGAGTTTTTAACTATTTTATTTTTATGAAAGACTTTATTTTTAAATCAAATCATGCGCAATACACGAGTTGCTTAATTCATTTGTTGTAAATAAATACTAATTACTAATATACGAAAATTAATAAAATAGATTTTCAATAAATAAATTAAAGTATTAATATTTTGATCATACATGTATATGTCACTTAAAAAAAATAATTTAAAAATATCTTTTAAATAAAATAATTATTAAACTAATTCCTCTTTAAAACGTTTTTTAAACAAGTAAATTATCTCTTAAAATTAACATGTGTTTGTATTAAAACTTATATTATAACTTATAAGAAATTATAATATGCTATGTAATAAACTGTAATTTAAATGACTGCTTTTTTTGTAATTTGCATGGGTATCACCGAATTTAATTTATTAATAGTATTGGTAAACCATGTACCTTTATGATATATTATTATTATTTATTTATTTATTAAATATTAATTTGTTTTACATTTTACACTGTTGTAGTTAAACTGTTTGAAGGATTAATCTTGGACGATCCTGTTTTTTGTCCATATGCTTGCGGCCGATCTTATAGTGGAAAAAACCGTAAGGGTAATCTGAAAAGACACTTGTCATTCGAATGTGAAGTGACATCTTTATTCAAATACAGTTGTGATATTTGTTTAAAAAAATATACTAGAAAAGAAACTTTAACAGTCCACAGAGTAAATTCACATAATGTCCATTAAAATATACTTATTGAATAGTTTTCTAATAGAATATAAATATTATATTTTATATTTTCAAAATTTCAAAAAAGTTATTATTCTGCATTACTTTTTTTAATTAAAATGAATTATGTAACTAGCCTATGTCGACTTTTTAGTTATTTTCCTATGCTATACTCGTACATATATGTATATTGATTTTATTATAACCCGCGTGGGTCCATACGATGTGGCATAAGCATGACATGATAAATTTGTTTTCTATGACTTTTCTAGATGTCTTACTGAAAAATATTCTATCGTCCCAGTATAAGTAGTCTACATTAATTGATATTATTCCGTATCTGTGAATGTAATTTCAGCAAAGTCTGATAGCAAAAATAGGTACGACTTGTCTCCAATACCAATGCCCTAATGTCAAGTAGACATGCTTATTAAGTTTCTTCTAACTGATTTAAATAATTTAATGATAGGAAAATGCAATCTATAATTAAATCTTACTATACAAAATTGAAACTGTTTAATATAAATTTTCTATGTTATGCGTTCATAAGACGAAGACAACACATGTGGCCTTGCGGGTTTGGTGTCTTGTTCTCTAATAAGTATTAAATACCTATAATTTAAATTTAACATGTATTATATTATAATACTATATTATTTACATCGAAGACCCGAGGTATATTTTGTATTTATATATCAGAAAGTTAAACAATATTTCGTTATATTTCTTGTATTTAGATTTTAATATGTTAATATAATAGATAGGTGTTAATCAGTAAATTGTAAATACTCTATTGAAATTAAATAATTATGAAATGTATTTATATTAAAATGGTATAATACTACACAAACTTTGCTGAATTATTTCAAAATATGTACAATATGATATTAATGATATTATTATAATTCTGTTTATATGTTTGTATTTTTAAATAATTATAATCTTCTGTGTCTTTATTTTTTACACAATTCAATATGTATGAATTATGTAATTAGAGATATTATTATTAATCATACTGTACTCGTATATGTTTCACTTTTTGCGTTTTAACAATAATTATAGTTTATCTTACTTGTTTATTTTTATCGTTACGTGTATTTTTAGCAACCACAGAACATTCCTTTTCTATATATTTTTTTATAAGATCTCTCACAAAGAAAAAACAAATTAAATTCTTTTAAATTAAAATATCACTCAGCGAGATACAGTAGAAAAATATTTGAAAACTCAATTATATAGGTTAATAAAAATATATACTATACCTTTCAAATTTAACATAAAAATAACTGAAATGTATTAGTAACTACCTACTAAATATTGAATTCCATTTATGTTTCAGATTAATTCATCATAAGTCTTAACTCAATTTTTGGACAGTATCCCAAACACGATATCAAATATTATATTTTAGTTTGCAGAATTTATTTACAATATGAATGTAATATTTGCCTCAGACTATAAGTTATAACATTTAAATTTCCATTTAGCCTATGTTCATAATAATATTATAAATGAATAAAAAAGTATATGTAAAAACGTTTTGAATACCTACAATTTTCATTTTAAATATGTTATTTAAAAACTATTAAAATATTTCCTAAACGTTATAAAAATACCGATGGCTACACAAATGACTTGTTTAGGAATTTTTATAATTTATATAATTTTATTTTTAGATTGAAAGAATGAATCTTAGTAAATAATATTAATTGTACTATATTATCTAATTAAAATGTAAATCCAACAATGAAAATGTAGTTCAAACAGAGATAAATCCTAAAGATGCTTACATAAATATGCAAAAAGCCCGTTAAAAACAAAATTTAGTATACTTAAATCAGCACTGAGGTAATCTAAATTAAATAACATTATAATGTCAATAATAAAAACTAATTTGAATATTATATTTTCAGTTCAGTGTTTAAATCAGTCTTTTGAAAAATATCGAATGTTTTGTCCAAATTGTTGTGGCCGATCATATACTGATATAAATCGCAAATACAATCTCAATAAAATTATCGTTTGAATTATAAGTGTGGCATTACTTCACAATTTTATTGTAAATTTTGCGGAAAACAATTTAGACACAAGTGATTGCTACATAATCATTTGACCATTGTTCATCAAGAAAATATACTTTAAAAATAATATTTTTTTAAATAAAATTTTTATTTTTAATTTGATTTTTTTTTTTATTGTATTAAATTTTTTCATCATTACACAAAATAGTATATCTTTATTGTTTGTTTATATAATCATATTAACGTTCAATGTCATATATTACGTCTTAAAAATTATTAATTACAATATTCTATTTTTAATTCCAATACATAATATTTTTAAATTTCTAAATATTTTAGGAACCACTAATTGATACATTTATTACCTATTCGTTGAAGTTAACTAGTATTTTTCATTTACAATAAAATTTAAGATATGTACGTCAGGAAGCAATTTTATCATAGTATACGCCCTAACAAAATAAGCGATTACAGTGCTATAAAAGTCTAAATTAATAACTCGTATATTTTGTCAATGATATAAAATAATTTGAATATTATATTATCAGTTTATCAATTAATCAGTATTTTTAAAAAGATGTACTATTTTCTCCAAATGATTGTGGCCGATTCTAAAATAGTAGGGAACACTAACGCCATCTCAAAAATCATTTAAATTAACATGTGGCCTTAGTTTTATTATTTTAAATTTTAGTCGACAATTCTATTATAAATGTTGTCAAAAACTATTTATGCCTAAGCGAAATTACCTGACCATTTAGCCAATTATGTATTTTATTATAATTTATTTATATTTTATGCGAAGACGGAAGAATGGAATTTTATTTTATTTTTATGAAGAAGTGTTTTAATATTGTAATATTGCAATATTTAATGAAATCTAATTACCTTTTCAAAAGTACTCAAAAATGCACGTTAACAACCAAATCTAGCGCTTTTGCATTAATTAAATAACTATATTTTGTTGACGATTTAAAGAAATTTGTATGTTATAATTTCAGTTAGTTACATAAATAAGCCTTTTGAAAAAGATCCAATGTTTTGTCCAAATGGTTGTGGCCGATCGTATAAAGGTGCAAACCGCAAAAACAATCTCAAACATCATTTAAATTATGCGTGTGGCATTAATCCACAATTTCAATGTACAATTTGTCAAAAAAAATTCAGAAAAAACCAATCATTGAAGTATCACATGATAACAGTTCATCAAACATGCATATTTTAAAAATAAAAAAAAATACTGTATTGTAAAAATAAAGAATTGCACAATAATTACAGATTTTATATTTATTATTTCCTAATTCTTTAATTTTAGAGAAACAATTAATTATAAGTTATAAGAATGGTAAAACGTAATTTATTGTGTTAGATGGCCTTTTATTTCTTTAGAAAATAGAAGAATTCTTTGTAAACTATATATCCCTGTTAGAGCCGTCTTTACATAATTCATCACGTGCTTGTACCATTATCATTTATCATTATTGACTAATCGGTTTTACCTATTTATATCATACATATTTGTTACTGTAATAAGCTCTATCAAAAATGGATAAATATTACGTCTTTAAATGTAGTATCGACTATCAAGTTTTTAGTTGCATAGCTTATTTTAGAACTATTTGAATTTTCCTAAATCATGACAAACTTATGAATGCATAAACAACTTTATATAATAGTTATTCAACTAAAAATTGTAAACCAATCATTAAGTGAAATTGGAAGGCTTCCGATTTATTCTAATCTCACATCTGCACATTCACCATGCTGGAGATGACAACTTTATGTTTAATTTATTATATTTGTACTCAATATTAATTGTAAAATAATATGTTATTATTTTTTGGAAACTAAATAGATTCAATTAAATTCAATATTTGTGTAATATTGTATATAATTTCTTTTAGTGTGCAATAAATGTATATAATAGCGCTTTGATTTTTTAAATCAATTTTATTAATTCAATTAATAATACAATTGATATGTGTTATGTTTGCAGAGAATACCATAATGAAAATATTATATGAAGCTAGTTCAAATGATCCAATATTGTGCCCATACAATTGTGGTAGTTTGTTTAATGGAAGATATCGAAAAAAAAATCTTAAAAGACATTTATACTATACATGTTTTGTTAACCCACAATTAGAATGTAAATATTGTAAAAAAACGATTAGAAATAAAAGATCATTAGATTATCATATGATGACTAATCATCAACAACTTTTAATTTAATATGTTTAAAGATAAAATCTAAAAATTGATATTATTTATATTTAGAAATATACTGTTTCGATATTATAAATAAATTGAATTTTGATTTAAAAACACTACAACTTAAAATGTTTCCTCTATTTTATAATAGATAATACATAACTTCATCAGCACCTAATAAAAACATTCAGACTACCTATTTCATTAGGTACTGAGATTTTTGTCTTCCCATGTCACTTGCAATTTTAAAAATTGCAGTTCAACATAAAATATCAAAAACAGAAACCCTCTGAAATTTGTTACTAAATTATATTCAAAAAGTCGATGTTTAAAGAAAAAATAGAAATATTATTGAAAATTTTCGTAGTAATAGACTAATCTATAAAAGCATCAACAATTTTTTGTATGGTTTTTATCATAGTTATTAGTTAAATAACGTAAATACACTTTTTTTACATATTTTTTCAATGACTGTTTAAGCTCTGTTGCAGTTTTACAGAAAAAAAAATTTAGTATTAAACGCTTAACTGTTTTAAAGAAGTTATGTATCTTAACATTAACTACCTATAGTTTGTATAGTTCATTTTATATATTATATAATATATATGACCAAAAAAATAAAACAACTAAAATTTAAAATGTTATGTTTATAGAATATACAATGATGGAATTATTAAATAAAGTAATTGAAAATGATCCTGTATTTTGTCCAAATGGTTGTGGTCATTCATATATTGGTAAATACCACAAATACAATTTCAAAAAACATTTGATTTATGCATGCAGAAAAAATCCACAGTTGCATTGCATATTTTGCCAAAAAAAATTGCAACATAATCATCATTAAAGTATCATTTATCGACTACTTATCAAGAGAATGTACTTTGAAAACAAAATAGTTATGTAGTATAAACTTTGTGTTTAGAATTTTAGTTTATTATTCAATTTATATTAAAATACTAACTTTTCCTGTGTTTAGAAAATAATAGTAATTGAATTATAAATTTAAGTATAACAATGTAGACCAAAGTATGATCAATTTTAATAATCTTTACATAAATATGCAAAAAACCCTTAAAAAAAATTTAGTTTACTTAAATCGGCGGTGAGGCAATCTAAATTAAATAACTTTATAATGTCAATAACAAAAACTAATTTAAATATTTTATTTTCAGTTCAGTGCCTGAATCATTCTCTAGAAAAATATCAAATGTTTTGTTCAAATAGTTGTGGCCGATCATATATACCTACTGGTAAACATCGCAAATATAATCTCAAACATCATTTGAATGATGCATGTGGCATTAACCTACAATTTGATTGTAATTTTTATGAAAAACAGTTAAAATCAAAGTGATGGTTACTGTATCACTTATCATCAACAGACTTTAATAAATATATTTTGTACTTGAAATTTTTACTTATAATTTAATTTGTATCTGCATGCTTATTGTCATAATATGTAAAAATTAAGACCAAACTCGAGGTAACCAATTCCTATTTATCTAAATTAATATCTTAAAAAGCATTCAAACTATTATACTTGCTTTATTAATCTACAATTTAAAACTTATAATTGCAAAAAAAAAAAAAAAATTAAAATTGAGAGAATATTAGATTAATGATTTATCATGTGTGACTTATAATAAATTGTTCATTTTTATTTAAAAGGCTCACATTAGAATACGGTTTAATAATATATTTTAGATTAGTCTTGTTTACAATACTTTTTATTTAACCAAGATTTTCATCAGCTCAATGTCCTCCATAATTTTAAAAAAGCGGTTCGACGAAAGACATAAGAAACAAGATCACTCTTGAGATTTGACAATGAAATTTATTCAAAACGTCAGCTTTTAAACAAAATTAATGAGAATGTTTTTGAAAATATTTGTAATAATTGAATAAACTTTTCACAAAGACATATTCCTACTATTCTTTTATGGTTTTGTTATATTGTAGCCAATATACATTTAGTATCAGCTGCTTTAATTATTCTAAAGAAGTTATGTATTTCACCATCAACTATAGACTATAGTCTACATTATTGAATACTTATAGTTGGCTTACAAAATGTATCAACTAAAATATTTTATTTACAGAGAATACAATGATGGAATTATTAAATAAATTAATTGAAAATGATCCAGTATTTTGTCCAAATGGCTGTGGTCATTCTTATATTGGTTTACACCGCAAACACAATCTTAAAAAACATTTGATTTATGCATGCGGAAAAAATCCACAATTTCAATGTATAATTTGCTCAAGAAAATTTGCTCGCAAGCATACTCTAAAAAGCCATTTATTATCTATTCATAGAAAAATCTTCAATTCTGATTTGATTTAATTTTATATAGGTTTATTGTAAATAACAAACTATTATATATCTAAATTCATACATGAATATTTTATTTTACTTAGCACTATACCTGAATTTAGCTGTTTATCTTGACTTACATCATAATTCATAAGTATTTTAATAACACACACACACACTGTGCATATGTATATATATTTATAATTTAACAGCTGATAAACAATTGTACTTATTCAAAAAAAACTTATACAACAATAAGAAAAAAATTTAAATAACATATTTTGTGTATTTATTTGTACAAAGAATGAAACATAGTTTATAAATAATAAAATGCAATTCTTTGTTTTTTGTTTTATGTTAAAATTTATTACATACATTTTTTTAGTTATATAACTTATAAGAGCTATAATAATAAATGATACCAAGTTCTATGTTCATACATCTAAATTAATTATGTAACATATTATATTATTTTCAGTATTCATATTATATAAATTGTTATTTAATAATATTAATTCTTTTTGGTATCAAAAATTGCAATATTGTTTCACTTTTATTCATTAAGTAAATATACATTTAAATGGGAATACTATATTATTACTATAAAGTGAAATACAATTTAATGTAGTAAGATTTTTAGTAACTTTGATCAAATTAATTGTATATTATTTATTGTAGTTTATAAAAGAAATAATTGGTATTGAAGTCTTGTGGCTTTTTAAAGACTGTGCATTCAACAATGGATATTTTAAGGAATTATCTCTGATGATTTAAAAAAAAAAAATTATCTACATCTAACAATACCATTAGTACTCAGAATAAATAAATAAGCACTAATAATTTATGAATTAAATTTAATCTTTTTAATTAAAATAATAGAATAAATTGTTAAGAGTATGCTACATCTGCATGCAGTGTCTCTGTCTTACAAATGCACAGCTTAGCAAATAGTTCGTTCTGAAGAATCTATTTAACTCTGGCATATTTAATACAACAGTAAATTAATCTATTATCAAATTTAAAAGTTAGAATATTACTTAGTGAACATCATAAACTTTATTTTTATATTTTTATTTTAAAGTAACTTAAGAGCATTTTAAAATGTTTATGCAATTTAGATTTTTTTAAATACTCTTGACTCATTTTAAAATAAAAATATAAAAATAGCCTAATTATTCTTACTTTCAAATTTGATAATAGGTCAATTCATCAGGATTTATAAAATTTCCTAAGATAATAGTTACATTATTAGTATTAGAAAATCTCACGTTATATCACTTCTACTAATAAAGACAAATTAATGTTGTTTTAAATAATGCATCAAAAATGATGTGGTTTAATTTTTTCACTTAAAAATTCTAGCAAAACATTTTATATTCTTTAAAATTTGAACTATTGTGTTCATGAATACATTGCTATGAAAATTAATTTATAAAATAAACTTCAATCATGATGTATATTTTATACATAAATATTATTTTTCTTTTTTTTTTTTTTTTGTTAAACAGAAGTTTGTAAGCTTGATTATATAAATGTATTGTTTAAAATAAATCCATAATATATGAACTTTGGTTATTTAAAATGTATAAAATATTTTAGTGTGGTGTAATTAAACTCTTTTTAATTAATAATATAAAACAATTTAAATGTTTTATTTTCAGACAATCATATTATGAATGAGGTACTAAATATAGCTAGTTAAAATTATCTACATTTTGTCCAATGGTTGTGGTAATTTATTTAAAGGTTCAGAAGTTTACAAGTATAATCTAAAAAGGCATTTGAAATATTCTTGAGGCATGGTTCTACAAATTAAATATGTTGTATATCATAAAAAGTACAGAAAAAAGAAATAATTATATTGACTATTCATAAAACATACCTAATATAGCTACATAATTAATAATATAATTCTATTAGTTATTTTAGTATTATTCATTAAATCATAAAAAAAGAAATGAAATAATAATGCAGTGTTCACTCAAAATTTCAATTTATAGTATGCCAAAGACCATTAAAAAATAATCATTTATTACAGTAAATTTAGTTATTACTAATATAAATGTTATTAAATAGATGTTTTTCAAAAAAGTTTAAAGATAATAAAATGCTAATAAATTACTACATGATAGATTGTTAATCATATTTCAGTTTAAAAAAAAAAATATATTAATACTTAACTACTTAATTTGTTTTGTTTGTTTCAAATTACATTGAAAAATATATTTTTATGACTCTTTGATTTATATTTCAGTATCTATACTCTATTCAAGTTAAGAAAACAATTTGGTAGACTATTTGTGTCTTAATGTATAGTTGTTTTATTTTTTTTTATTGTTCATATTCGCTTTGATAGCTAGGTCATAAGTACTACATTTTTTTTAAACATAATTAAAATTTTATATTTACAGATAATCATATGAACGAGTTATTAAATAATGCTAGTAAAAATGACCCAGCAATCTGTCCAAATGGTTGTGGTCATGAGTATAAAGGTTTGGATCGCAAACGGAATCTCAAAAAACATCTGATTTATGCTTGTGGTGTTAATCCACAATTCCAATGCATACTTTGTTTAAGAAAATTTGCTCGCAAGCATACATTGAAAATCCATTCAAAATCTGTTCATAAATTTTATAATTTGACTGTTGATTAATATTGTATAGCTTTATTTATATTCATAACAAAATTTATTTAAACTACATGTTAATTTTATTTTTACTTATAAAAACTTATTATATAGGTTGGCCAAAAACCATTCAAATACAAGCAATCATAATAATATAATAAGTATTTAAAAGTATAGTTTTATTAATAAAGTTAATTTTTGTTTCAAGTATGCTCATACATAGTTTGTTTTTTCTTTTAAAATAATTATAACATGTTTGAAAAAAAATGAACTTATATATTTAAATCAATATTGATTTGTATTAAAGATGAAAAAATATCATCTATGATATACAACAGAGGTAGTCAGCCTTTTCAATTATGTGAGCTATATTTGAAATTTCAAATCCCTGGTGATCAACATCTAGGTCTAGAGTTTAGACGATTTGTTCAATGAGTAAAAAAAAATGTCGACATTCAAGTTATAACTAATAATAATAAACTATTCCCACTTTTATAACTAACCAATAATGATAAATTCAATATATATAGTATACATTATAACAATTTTCTAATTTCAGTAGAATCTCGGTAATCCGACATATTATTAGACCACACTACTACTGCCGGATTAACGAAAACGCCGGATTAGTGGGGAGTTCACAAAATAACACATTTTTACTCGTATTAAAAAATGATTTAAAAATCTTTTAGGTTGAGAGCAGTTTTCTTTTTGTTTATTAGGATTTAATCTGTTATTACTTAGTTTTATCTAACGGTTTATCATTTACGATAGTAAATTTATATATAAATACATATTGGTACAAACTGTATTTATTATGAACCAATAATGGGAAAATTAATTTTTACTTGCAATCGACCTATATTCCTAGAAAGATCAACTGGTTGGCAACCTCTGGTCTACAGTCTTTAGTAAACATATAAAATATAAACTTAATTAACATATACATATCAAAAACTATTCTTTAAAATAGTCTTGATTAGATATTTTATATTTAATGGAATAGTTAGTTATTTTATAATAAACAGTTATTTAATATGCATTGCATTTAAACTAACAATTGATAAACGAGTGTAAAAACTTTGTATGCATAATATATTAATGACATATTTTACCATTTTAATATTTGATAATTTATAATATATTTATCATAATAAAGAATATTAACTGATTTAATTTTTTATTTTTAGAGTTGCCTTGCAGTTGGTTAGCTAAACTTAATTGGATAACTCAATTAGATCCAGTCAATTGTCCAAACAAATGTGGTAAATTGTATAAAGGACCTTATAGAAAACATCATCTCAGACAACATTTGGTATATGAATGTGGTGTTATACCAAAATTTCAATGCAGAATATGTTTTAAGCGTTTTTCTAGAAATCCTCAATTAAAGTATCATTTAGTTAGAATACATAAAATGATTGCTTAGTATAATAAAATGTTTAAAATTTGGTTTATTATTAGTTATCAAATAAAATATTTATTATTAACT